TGCTTCTTTTTGTTTTTCCCACAAGAACCTGTAAGATCATTTGTAACCTGTTCCATAGAGAAACATTGTGGCAACAGTGTAGAAAGTCCTTTCATCAGAAACACCCACTTGTTTCACAGGCACAAGGACCTCAGCCCTGACTGCTTGCTAGTCAGCGGCTTGTCACTCAGTCTACAGAACACACAGAGCATTGTCCTTTGCACGGGTTGATCCAGTCTCTCATCACTGGCTTTCTGCTTCCTAGGCTTGTATACTGGCTGGCCTTGTTCAGAAGTGTAATCATTACACACTGTGCCTGCAGGGCTTTCAGGAAGAGCAGCAAGACTGGGACGTGTGGGTTTGTGAGCAAGCAGTGAGATCAAGCCCAGCTTTTAGGGTTATCCCTTCACAGAGTTTAATCTTTGTGACCCTTTTCTGTGTCCCTATCAGCAATTTAAAACAATCACAACTTCATCAAGCCCTTTGCCCACAAGGGACTCTGCACTTGAAAGAGACGGGAGCAGTTTTGTGGTGCAGAACATCCTTTGAAAGCTCTGAGTGTAAGAAAGCCTTTGCTTATGTGACTTAAGGGGTAGGAGGTACAGCTTGTGCGGGGGTGCTGCAGTTCAAAGGCACCGCCTTTAATCCCCAACCATTTTCATTTTGCTTAACTTTTATTTCTTTATGGGTGGCTAAACTGCAAACTTCTATTAATCTATTGCCAAGTAATTTTTCTTAAGAAGGTGGATACATTACCCTATCCACAGCCAGGAGACAGCTCTTAGGAATGCCGGTAGGACAGTTTTATGTGGCTGAAACAGAGGAGAAAGTAGGCCACTGTTTTCTCTGTGGAGCAGATTCCTTCCCTGGCGAGTGTGCTCTCTGGAACACAAGCGGACTAGTATATTTGGAAATTCGATCCCCTGGCAATCAGAGATCTTGGGGAAGAGAAGACTAAATATTTCTGCAGTTGTGATTTTTATGTTAGTAGAACAGCCAAAATGTCAGCCATGGTAATGAACACTGTCCAAGTCACACACAGGCAGCTGGGGAGAGATCTCAGTGTCAGGAAGTGACATTTAGCATTTAGGGGCAAAGTTGAAGGAATGGAGAAACAGCCAAGAAGTGAATGAGACATTTTACCAGAATTGTCCTGCCTTTCTGGTTAAACTAAAGAGACTTCTGAACATGACTTTCAAACTTGCATACCACACTACGCACTACTTACCCCCCTGCACCACACACACACACACACACACACACACACACACACCACACACACTCTTTGGAGTATTAACATTTTACATAACTAACCAGAGCTGATTATGTTAACAGGTTTTGATTTCTTTTATTTTTCTTGTGTGTGTGTGTGGGGGGGGTGTATTGAGAAAGTCTCACCATGTAGTCCTGTAGGCCTTGAACTCACAGACATCCACCTGCCTCTGTCCCCCGAACACTGGCCTAGATGCAGTCAGCAGTGAGACAGGCTAATGTGAGTGGCCTGGATCATGATGAATATGACAATCTTAACCCTATTATGATGATGATGATGTGTTTGGTTTTTTGAGACATGGTTTCTCTGTATGGCTCTGTCTGTCCTGGAACTTACTATGTAAGGCTGGCATCAAACTCAAAGATATGCCTGCCTCTGTTCCCCGAGCCCTGGCTTGAGAGGTGTGTGTCACCACCACCAAGCCTTTTCCTTGACCTGCATTCTCGAAAAGAAAACATGGGTTTTATCCCCCCCCCCCTTTTTTGATATAATGATTCTTTCTTCTTTTGATTACTTGATTTAACTTGTTCACATTATTTGGGTTCAAGAGTCACCCACAAACTATACAAACAACCATCTCAGTCAGACACAGATGGTTCAACACATACACAAGTACTGATCAATTAGGATCATAGCTTAGAACTCAGGGACTGAGCCACAGCATCGAGTGAACATCTTTCTCTGTCATCTTATAAAAGGAAAAAAAAAATCACAAAAAACACAGTGAGTTCATACGTAGGTGCAGGAAGTGCTGCCCAGTGGTCAGCTCCAACTCAAGACTTTTAGACATAAGAGTTCATATTGACCTTTAATTTGATGGGTCTCACATAAAGCTTTGTGGAATTTCTTGAGGTTAATAAACCTCAGAACATACAGAACATAATAGGATATGTGATCAACGTGACCTTGCTCTGAGTAAGTAATTTTTCTGTGTCAATGACTGGCAGGCATATTGGGAGGGTGGGGGGCAGATCTCAACAATATGACTGCTTCCCCGTGTTCTTCAGATCGTTCTCTGTTTTGATGGGCTGCAAGCTTTAGCTTTAACTGGCTTCCACAGGATAATCCAGGAGAAAGAATTAAGTGAATGTCTGAGATATTTACTGTTACACAGACTTTGCTTAATGCACAATCCTTTAAAGTCGGCACTGTTGAATTCGAAACATTAATTGGAAATCAACTGGCAGACCAACTCTCAGAGTGGCACAGTTATGAGCTACCTAAGGAAATGTACAAAAGAAAACACCCTAAGGTGCTGGAGAGATGGCTCAGTGGTTAAGAACACCAGCTGCCTTTAGAGAGGACTTAAGTTTGGCTCCCAGCATCCACATGGTGGCTCACAATCATCTGTAACTCTAGTTCCAGGAGATCCAACACCCTTTCCTGGCCTCTGAGGACACCAGGCATGCACACAGTACACATACACGCATAATACATACATACATACATACATACATACATACATACATACACACACAGGCAAAACACTCAAACATATAAAATAAAAATAATTCTTTTTAAAAAGATACATTATTTTTTAAACTTATTTATTTAATGTATGTGAGTACACTGTTACTCCCTTCAGACACACCAGAAGAGGGCACTGCATCCCATTACAGATGGTTGTGAGCCACCATGTGGTTGCCGGGAATTGAACTCAGGACCTCTGGAAGAGCAGTCAGTACTCTTAACCGCTGAGCCATCTCTCCAGCCCAAGATACCTTACTTTTAAGTTTATTTATTTTATGTATCTGAGTGTTGTATCTGCATGTACACCTGTATGCCAGAAGAAAGCATCAGATTACATTATAGATGGTTGTGAGCCACCTTGTGGTTAGTGGGAATTGAACTCAGGACCTCTGATGGAGGAGACAGTGCTCTTAACCTGTGAGCCATTTTTCCAGTCCAATAAGTAATTCTTTTTTTTTTTTTTTGGTTTTTTGAGACAGGGTTTTTCTGTGTAGCCCTGGCTGTCCTGGAACTCACTCGGTAGACCAGGCTGGCCTCGAACTCAGAAATCCGCCTGCCTCTGCCTCCCAAGTGCTGGGATTAAAGGCGTGCGCCACCGCCACCGCCTGGCTGGAACAGTGCTTCTTAACCTTCCTAACGCTGCAGGCCTTCAATACAGTTTCTCATGTTGTGTGGACCCCCAACCACAAAATTATCTTTGTTGTCATTTCATTACTGTAATTTTGCTACTGTTATGAATCGTAATATAAACGTGTAATATGCAGGATATCGGATATGAGATCTCTGTAAAAGGATCATCCGGCCCCAAAGGGTCAAACCCACAGGTCGAGAACCCACTGCTCTAGACTCTTGAGTGCATGCACAGGTGTGTGCTCCTAAACATATGCACATATGCCACCCATGCAAATACACACACACACACACACACATGCGAGAACAAGAGGTGTTGCTAGGGGATAGTGAAATTGGTATTAGAATCCATCCCAGTCCACCTCCTCACCTTGTTATAGGATTAAACAAGAGACTCATAGCTATTGGGTCAAAAACCATTGTTCTCAGCCCAGTGTGGTGGTGCACACCTTTAATCCCCACACTTGGGAGGTAGAAGCAAGCAGATTTCCGTGAGTTAGAGGCCAGCCTGGTCTACAAAGATTGTTTCAGGACAGCTAGGGCTACATAGAGAAATCATGTCTCAAAAAGTCTAGATGTTGATGATGATGATGATGTTGATGATGGTGATGATGATGATGATGATGATGATGGTGATGATGATGATGACAACAAAATTGTTTCCATGAATATTCGTATAAAAATGCCCAAGTGTGCAGATCTCTGAGTTCGAGGCCAGCCTGGTCTATGGAGCTAACTCCAGGATAGCCAAAAGAGAGAAAGGAAAAAAGGAAGGGAAAAAAGAAAGAGAGAGAGAGAGAGAGAAAGAGTGAGAGAAGTACCTAATCTGAATCTGGTTTTTTTTTAAGATTTATTTATTTTATTCTGAGTACACTGTAGCTATCTTCAGACACACCAGAAAGAGGGCATCAGATTACATTACAGATGGTTGTGAGCCACCATGTGGTTGCTGGGAATTGAACTCAGGACCTCTGGAAGAGCAGTCAGTGCTCTTAACCACTGAGCCATCTCTCCAGCCCCCTGAATCTGTTAATAAGCTGTATTTTAAGAATACTTGTGGAAAGGCAGACAAAGGCAAATGAGAAGGCAGTCATGGAGAACTCTAGAACTCTCAGTCCCAAAGACTTTGAACCACATTCTTATGTGGACCTACAGGACTGACAGTAAAGGCTTGCCAAGCAAAAGGTTTGAATTTTATGGGAAACCTAACAAGTATTTAGGAAACTTCTTTCCCTGCGAGGGTGTCCCTGGGAAATGTAGGAATTACAACTGTCCTGGTCAAGCCTAGGTTGCTTTCTTCTCCCTTTGTGTAAAAAATACATAAAAATTTAATTGAAATATTTTGCTTCTCCAGTAGCTGTTCTGAAAGCCACCTATGATCAGGGGAAGGAGCCAGACACTGGACATCACAGTGACTTCTTTAGCTCTGTGTTTCGTTCCTCTCATATCATACATATGTTTTATGATTTCATATTTAACAAACATTTAGATCCATGGCAAACAGCATATTCAAAGATCAACCCAACTGTTTCTCCAGACACCCAGAGAAGATGGGGCAAAACCATGTCATACTCACCAAAACGAACAGGATATAGTAGGCCCTCAGTAAATACCCTGAAACTAAATCTCATTTTCCTTCTCTCCCAAGCTTCCGCAGGTTCACTCGGTCCAACAGTGTGACAACTGCAGTACAGGCTGACCTGGACTTCCATGATAATCTGGAAAATTCTCTGGAGTCTATAGAGGACAATTCGTGTCCCGGCCCCATGGCCAGACAGTTCTCACGGGATGCTAGCACCTCTACTGTCAGTATCCAGGGTTCAGGAAACCACTATCATGCCTGTGCAGCTGACGACGACTTTGACACAGATTTTGACCCCTCTATCCTGCCTCCTCCGGACCCCTGGATTGATTCTATCACAGAAGACCCTCTGGAGGCCGTTCAAAGATCCGTGTGCCACCGGGACGGCCACTGGTTCCTGAAGCTTCTCCAGGCGGAGCGAGACCGCATGGAAGGGTGGTGTAAGCAAATGGAGAGAGAAGAGAGGGAGAACAACCTCCCCGAGGACAGTAAGTAGCGCCTTCACTCGTGTCTGTGACTGTGCAGTGGGCCCTGCTGGTTTGGGCTTGTGCGTTTTCCTATTTTCGTTTCGTAACCTTGTTTCACCCTCCAAACCTGAACTTGTAAAAGAGCTGGGCAATTCCAACGGAAAGACCCGAAGCTTCTAGACTGCCCTCAAGTTTACAGTGATCCACCTGCCTTTGACTCCTGGGTGCTGGGATTAAAGGTTGTGTGCCACCATTCACGGCTAACTTCTTTATACTTGTTTTTTAAATTTTTATGTATACAGGTATTTTGCTTGCATGTATGCTTTGTGTATCACATATGTATGGTATCCACAGAGGTCAGAAAAGGGCACCAGATCCCCTGAAACTGGAGTTAAGGATGGTTAATAACCTCCATATAGGTGCTGGGACCAAACCCAGGTTCTCTGCAAAAGCACTAAGTGCATTTAGCTGCTGAGCCCTCCCCCGGCCCCAGCTGGTCACTTCTGATTGGTGGAAACTAAACTACTATTTTACCAGTCTACTGATACATCCAGTTAAGCTACTATTCCCTATGTACAAAGTATCCTTTAGGGTAAACTTAAAGCTATGCAAGAGGCAGCCTCAAGGCCAAACTAAATTCAGCTATATGCTAATAGTAACTGGCAATGGCAGCTCAGGCCTGTAATCCCAGCACTAGGAAGGTGGAGGCTGGAGAATCAGTCCTCAAGTATATAATGACTTCAAGGCCAGACTAGTCTACAAGAAACTCTGCTTCAGTGTACACAAACAAAAAACTTGCTAAGGGAAAAAAAATCACTAGATCACCTTAGGTCAGAGCCACAACTTACATATCTACCAGAATTCTGAAACTGGGATCAGGTTTATGATTGGTGTATATTTTGACCTCTTATGCTTCTTGTCCTCTGAAAGAATAACTTGGTTCTGTTTTGTTTTGTTTTCTCCTGAAGCTGTTGTTATTTTAAGATGGGGTCTTTTGTATCCCAGGCTAGCCTCTAACTGGCTGCCCAGAGAAGGCCTTGAACTCTGGATCTTCTACCAACTTTCCAAATGAATGTGGGCTCATTTATGCAGTTCAGAAGATGAACCAGGTTCTGACCATGCTAAGCCAGCACCCTACCAACTAGGCTAGATCACATCCATCGCTGGTGACAGTTTGGAATCAAAGACATTTAGGGATAAAGCCTGCTTCCTTGTGTGTGGCAACCATCTAGAAGAAAGCTGTCATTGCTGTGGTCTTTATGTTCATTTCTTAAATAACCACTTGACTTTGATGGTGAACAAATCCAGAACATCCATAAAATAGCTAGTATTTTTTTTTCTGTAATGGAACACCCATCAACACCTCCAGTCTTATTTTCTTAGTGTTACTTCTGCCGTTGTCTAGAGAGAGTCCAGCCACAAAGGATACTTGGTGCATAGGGAATAGTAACGACTTGATGTGTCACCTTCATGTAGCATATAAAGATGAAAACATTAATTAAGCATAATTAGGCATTGCCATTCCTAATAAAATTGATGACTTCCTTTTCTTTGGGAATGGGAACAGGATCTTACTCCGTACTGTCCAGGCTAGCCCCTAACTACTAGGCTCAAATGACCCCTTGCCTCAGCTTTCTGAGCAGCTGACTGGCAGGTACATAACCCCATATCCAGCACACATTTTTTTAAGAACTTATTTTTATTTTATGTGCATGAGTGGTTTTCCTGACCAAAGGTGTACACTACCTCAGAAGAGACCAGAAGAGGGCCCCAGATCTTCTGGAATTGGAGTCACAGACAGTTGTAAATGGCCATGTGAGTCTGGGAATCAAACCAACCCAGGTCCACTGGAAGAGCAGCCAGTGCTCTTGACCACTAAACTATCTCTCCAGTTCCCACAATAATTTCCTAAAAATTAGAGGACCTGAATTGGGTTCCCAGTACCTGTACCAGGATGCTCACAATTGCTTGTAACCCACAGAGACAGGCTAGTGTATTCATAATTAAAAATTAAAAAATTAGTCTTTAAAAATATATTGGACCCATACTGGGTCCTGGTGGGGCACACCTTTGTTCAGCACGTGGGAGCCACATGCAGGTATGATATGATCTCTATGAGTTCAAAGCCAGCCTGGTCTACAAAGAGAATTCCAGGTCAGCCAAGACTCCACAGCAAATTCCAGGCCAGCTAAGGCATAGTGAGACCCTCTCAAAAACAAACAAAGGAAGAAAGGAAGAAAGGAAGAAAGGAAGAAAGGAAGAAAGGAAGAAAAGAAGAAAGAAAGAAAGAAAGAAAGAAAGAAAGAAAGAAAGAAAGAAAGAAAGAAAGAAAAAGAGAGAAAGAAAAAGAAAGAAAAGATAAAGAAAGGAAGGAATAGAGAGAGGGAGAGGGAGGAAGAAAGAAAAAGAAACCCACAAGGCCTCAACCCAACACAAAGAAGCATATATTTATACATACACATATCTGGGTGCAATAACAATTAATGAAAAAATAATCCACGAGTTTGAAGGAGAGCTGGGAGGCCTGTATGGGAGAGCTTGGAAACAGAAAGGGAAGGGGAAAATGTTGTAATTAAAGTACACTCTCGAAAATAACAAAGAAAGAAAGAAAAAGGGAAGGACAGAAGGAAAGAATAAGACTACAGGTCATTTCAAAGTTGTGACTCCAGAATACAACTCCAGGACTTGTTCTTCCAAACTCAGTCTGTTGCTAGGATACTCTGGGTGTGGCACCCAGGATTTCCAGATGCTCAGATACCTCAGATGCTCCCAGACTCACCTTACCATAGTCTGTGTTCCCATTTTCAGATGGGAGGAAAGTTTTATGAAGTTAGAAGTTGTTATTTGGGTTTTGGGCTTTTGTTTGTTTTGGTTTTGTTTTGAAACAGAGACTTTTTATACAGCCCTGGCTGTCCTGGTCACTTTGTAGACCAGGCTGCCCTTGAACGCAGAGATCCACCTACTTCTACCTCCAGAGTGCTGGCATTGAAAGTGTGGCCAGCATTCCCAGCAAGAAGTGATTTTTGCCTTACTCTCCTTCACATACCCAGCCTCTGCCTCGTAGCATGGCGTCATTAAGTGCACATTTAAACCTTTGAAATATTTAATCTTATAAAACTTTTTTTAAAAAAATCCTTTCTTTACTTTATACATATGAGTGTTCTGTCTGCACGTATGTCTGTGCAGCACATGCATGCCCAGTGCCCTCAGAGACTGGAAGAGGGGGTGGAATCCCCTGGGACTGGAGTTACAGTCGTTGTGAGCTACCATGTGGGTGCTGGGAATCAGACCCAGGTTTTCTGCGAGAGCAGCCAGTGCTCTTAATCACTTAAGCCATCTTGCTAGGCCGCAGTTTTTTAACTTAGCAATACCTTTCTTTCTAGTTGGGTAAAAAGCACTTAGTAAATAATGCCTGAGTCTGGTCAGGCTGCTATAACCAAAGACCCCAGACTGGGAGGAGTCTAAGATCTAGAGGCAGTGATGGGGTACACTTTTGCTTCCAGCATGAGACCTTCCTGAAGCATTCTCAGGTAGTAGAAGTCACGCACATTCCCCCAGGCCTCATTTAGAAGGCCATTAATCCTATTCATGAGAGTTCCAACCCCATGACCTGGTCCTTCCCCACCACCCCCATTTTAGACAGGGTTTCTCTGTGTAGCTGTTATTGGTATAGGTCCAAACTCAGTGGCGGCGCATCGTTGCCGAGGCAACCAGGGTGACACTCCCACAATTCGCCTGGCTACAGGAGCTACGTCATCATCTGTATAAATAGGCGAAGTTTCCCCGACCTCACTCTTTTTCCTCTCTGCCATCTTCTGTCTCCCTCTCTCTCTCTCTCTCTCTCACCCTCCATCCTTAATAAACCCCCACCTCCCGTGGAACTGGTCGGTCTCATTTAATCTTACAGCTGTGGTGTCCTGGAACTCTGTAGACCAGGCTGACCTTGAACTCAGAGATCTGCATGTCTCTGTCTCCTAAGAGCTGGGACTAAAGATGTGTGCTACCCTGTCTGGCTCCTAATCTTCTATTCTAGGCACCAACCTCAGTTAAGAGTTTCAACACAGAATTTTGAAAGAATATGAACATTCAGATCACAGCAAGTAACTAGCAGTTATTGTTGAAAAAAAAAAAAGACAGAAAGAAAGAAAGCTTCAAGGATCATCCCCTAGTGCAATATGGCCTCCTCTGATTGGAGGATAGGTTTGGCATGGGTGGGAACACCAGGTGGATAGTCTATGTGAGCCTGCCCAGCTTCTAAACACAATTTCATCACAGAAGCATTTGGAATACGTCTCTTTTATCTTATGCCCCAAGTCACACTTTAATCTGCAGAGATCTCCAATTTCTGAAGTTGGCTGGTAATTCCAGAGACGGAACGTTGCCAATTTCAGATGAAGCAAATCCAAGTTAGTGAGAATCCAGCCCTCTGTGGCAAGAAGTCCCCCGGAGAATCTTCTGTGCCCTCACTCCCCCACCCCCAGAGCTGAAAGGTGCCATTTCCTTTGCCCTCCAAATAGCAGTCTGGAGGCAGTATCTTGTCTAAGGTCACAAACACAGAAGTGTCTGATAGGACAGACACAACACAAATAACATTTGACAAAATAATGACGCTGTGTTGCTTGGCAAGACCTTCAGGAAAGCTCACTGCACGTATTTGCCCCTGACTCCTTGGCAACTGCCCTTCTGTTCCAACAACTGCCTCAGTCGTTGTAACTGAAGTTACAGAGGGTTTTCTCTGTGTCCTGAATTCTCTGATTCAGCCTTTCTTCTCTTTGTTTCCTTCCTACTCTTTCTACTTCTTTCTTTTCTTTCAAAGAAGAACGGTTAAGAAAACCATTAACCCTACTTTGCAGGAAAGAGCTAAGTTTAAGGTAACCAACTCTTGTTTGTTCTAATCTGTGTAAACCAGAAAAAAATCAAGTCAAGCAGCTATGTCTAGCTTGTCCAGATCTCGTGATGTGTTCTTTGCCTCCTATGCAATGGAGACACCTATCTCTCCAGGGATCAGGGTTAAGTGTCTT